TACAAAAAGATGGCAAGAGTATTGGAGAAAGAATTAATGAAAGTAAAATAATTTTTTAAATTTGCCTTATTCTTGATTGATCTAAAAGATAGTTGTTTGTTTACAGCAATATTAGAAGTAGAGGAAATTGCACACATGGTAAGTGAGTGAATGAGAACATCACAAGGAATGAAGGGGGGATTGGGAACACATGGTTATAAGATGTCTATACTACATGTGACACTGAATAGTATTAATGGAAAGTGTACACAAATTAGTGAAAAACAACTAGAAAAACAACTAAAAATTCTTAAAAGAGGTATAATTGATACTCTAAGAGAACAGATAAAGTGTAATAATATAAAATGTTCAATGAAAAACAAAGAGGGTAGAAAAATAAGCCACAGGCAACAAGTAAAAAATTGTTACAAACATGGTTGATATTAATCCAAATTTGTCAATAACCATGTTAAATATGAATAGTTTAGCACATGAATTAAAAGACAGATGTTGCCAAAATGGATAATAAAACAAGACACAACTCTATTGTGTCTATAAGAAGCCCACATTAAACCAAAATCTGTTTGGTTAAAGATTAAGGTGTGAAGAAAGATATACCATGCTGCTGCTGCTGCTGCTGAGTCGCTTCCGTCATGTCCGACTCTGTGCGACCCCATAGATGGTAGCCCACCAGGCTCCCCTGTCCCTGGGATTCTCCAGGCAAGAATACTGGAGTGGGTTGCCATTTCCTTCTCCAATGCATGAAAGTGAAAAGTGAAAGTGAAGTCGCTCAGTCATGTCTGACTCCTAGCGACCTAATGGACTGCAGCCCACCAGGCTCCTCCGTCCATGGGATTTTCCAGGCAAGAGTACTGGAGTGGGTTGCCATTGCCTTCCCTGATATACCATTCTAGCTCTAATTAAAAAATAGAGTAGCTACATTAATTTCATACAAAACAGAGTTGAGGTGACATTATTAGGAATAAAGGTGAGGGAAACTACACAATCACAAAGAGGCCCATTCTCCAAGAAGACAAAGTAATCCTACATGTGTTTGTACCAAACAACAAAGCATCAAAATACGTGAAGCAAAAACTGATAAACCTGATAAAGGAAATGGACTAATATACTATTACAATTAGAGATTTCAAAAGTTCTCTTTCAAAAATTGATAGCTCAAATAGGCAGAAAATCAATAGGGACATTGTTGGCCTGAACAACACAAATCAATCATCTTTATCTAACTGACATTTACAAATACTCTATCTGAGGACAGCATAATATGCATTCTCATTGTGGGCCATCAAACACACCTTATCAAATTAAAGAAAAGTAGAAATCATACATCATACGTTCTTAGACCAATTGAATTAACCTAGAAGTCAGAAACAGAAAAGTAGCTGAAAATCTCTAATTATTTGGAAACTAAACAATACATTTCTAAAAACATTTGCCTCAAAGAGGAATTCTCAAGTTTAATTAAAATATATTGAATTAAACAAAACTGGAAATAGAATTTATCACATTTTGTTGTATACAGAAAATCTATGCTTAGAGAAAAACTTACGGCATTAAATGGAAAATAAGAAAGAAAAAACTCAACAAGCTCTATATTGGCATGCAGGCTAAGTCACTTTAGTTGTGTTTGACATTGTGTGACCCTATGGGCTTCTCTGGTGGCTCAGATGGCAAAGAATCCACCTGCAGTGCAGGAGACCTTGGTTCGATCTCTAGATTGGGAAGATCCCCTGGAGGAGGGCATGGCAACCCACTCCAGTATTTTTGCCTGGTGAATCCCTATGGACAGAAGAGTCTGGCGGGCTACAGTCCATGGAATCTCAAAGAGTCAGAAACAACTGAGTGACTAAGCACATCACATGGACCTTAGCCTGCCAGGATCCTCTGTCCATAGGATTCTCCAGGCAAGTATACTGGAATGGATTGCCATGCCCTTCTCCAGGAGATCTTTCTCATCCAGGGATCGAACCTGCATCTCTTAGTCTCCTACACTGGCAGGCCAGTTCTTTACCACTTGCACCACCAAATTATTTCTATCCAATATATGCAAAGAACTCTTCAAACTCAACAAGAAAAATAATTTAAAAATTGGCAAAAGATATAAACAAATGTGTCACCAAAGAAGATAAACCAGTAGCAAATAAGCAAGTGAAACAATGCCACGCATTATTTTTCATTAGGGAACTGAAAATTAAAGCAACAATTAAATCTCTTCACACCTATAAGAATGCTTAATATACAGTAAATATCAAGTGTTGGCAAGGATGCAGGTAAGTGGGACTCATATATTGCTGGTGGTTATAGAAATGGTATAAACACTCTGGAAAACTGTTTTTAGGGTTCCTATAATAATAAGCAAGTTTACCAAAAGACCTAGCATTAGTACTCCAAGGTATCTACCCAACTAATTTGAGAACTTGTCCATGTAAAACTCTGCATGCAACTCTTTGTATCAATAAAACACCTATTTGCAGTCACTCCAAACTGAAAACCTTCAGTGGATGAATAAATCAAAAAACATACAAGTGCAGATGGTGACTGTAGCCATGAAATTAAAAGACACTTGCTCTTTAAAAGAAAAGCTATGACAAACCTACACAGTGTTTTAAAAAGCAGAGGCATCACTTTGCTGACAAAGGTCTGTATAGTCAAAGCTATGTTTTTTTCAGTAGTCATGTATGGAAGTGAGAATTGGTCCATAAAGAAGGCTGAGCGCCAAAGAATTAACACTTTATAATTGTGGTGCTGGAGAATGCTCTAGAGTCCCTTGGACAGCAAGGAGATCTACCAGTCAATCCTAAAGGAAATCAACCCTGAATGTTCATTGGAAGGACTGACGCTGAAGCTGAAGCTCCAATACTTTGGCCACGTGATGTGAAGAGTCGACTCACTGGAAAAGACCCTGATGCTGAGAAAGGTTGAAAGAAAAAGGCAGCAGAGGATGAGATGGTTAGATAGCATCACTGACTCAACGGACATGAATTTGAGCAATCTCAGGAAGATAGTGGAGGACAGCGGAGTCTGGCGTGCTACAGTCCATGGTGTCACAAAGAGTCAGACACAACTTAGCAACTGAACAACAACAATACCCAATAATAAAAAGAACTATTGATAAACGTGGGTGAATCTCAAAGGCATGATGATGAATGAAGTCAGTTACAAAATGCTGCATGTTGCATAATTCTAGGTGTATAACATTCTTGAAAAGACAAACTACAGCAATGGAGACAATGCAGAATATATCAGTGGTTGCCATATGACTGAACTTATTAGGGTTTGGGAAGGGTGTGGCTATAAAACAGCAACAAGTGGGAGTTCTTGGGGTTATGTATCCTAATTGTGATGGTGGTTACAGTAACCCAAACTTACAGGGCTTTATATCCAAAAGATCCATTTTACTGTATTTAATAAGTCAAATAAACTACTAAAATGATATATATTTAGTAATTCACATATATACATATATGGTGTATATATCTAACTCCCTGGTATAGGTACACTTCCCTGGAGTAGGAAATGGCAACCCACTCCAGTACTCTCGCCTGTAAAATTCTATGGGCAGAGGAACCTGATGGGCTATAGTCCATGGAGTCTGCTGCAACTGAGCATATATATAAAGTTTAAAAGCAAGCAAGAAATTCTAAACTAAGAGTGAAACGATTGTCAAGAAATGCATGAGAACAGTACTTCTTGTCCTTCAGTCGCTCAGTCTAGTCTGATTCTGCGACCCCATGGACTGCTGCATGCCAGGTTTCCCTGTCCTTCACTATCTCCTGGAGTTTGCTCAAACTCACCTCCGTTGAGTCGGTGATGCTATCCAAACATCTCATCCTCTGTCAGCCCCTTCTCCTCCTGCCCTAAATCTTTCCCAGCATCAGGGTCTTTTCCAGTGAGTCAGCTCTTTGCATCAGGTGGCCAGAGTACTGAGGCTTCAGTTTCAGCCTCAGTCCTTCCAAGGCATATTCAGAATTCTTTTGGGATTGACTGGTTTGATCTCCTTGCAGTCCAAAGGACTCTCAAGAGTCTTCTCCAACACCACGGTTCCAAAGCATCAATTCTTTGGCCTTCTTTACGGTCCAACTCTCACATCTTGAACGCGAATACTGGAAAAACCAGGACCTTTGTCGGCAAAGTAATGTCTCCAGTACTAGTAACCTTTAACATATGGTATTATTTGGAAGAAACGGGCGTAGTTACATTGAGAGGGTGACAACGAAAGTGGGCAGTAAGCTGTGGGCCCGCCTTGGCATCAAGAAAGGAACATTTCCAAGTCGTGGTGTGAAAATACTTTTAAGAGGAAGGTAAGAAATGGAGAAAAGTCAGAATATCGGTTTTAAGAGGCTAAAGGAGCAACTTCAGATGAGATGTGATGCACTGGCCCCAAACCAGGGCTTGGCAGAAGAGTCCAGACAGGATGGATGGGAGAAAGTTTGAGATCCTGAGAAAGTGTGAGCAGAAAGCAAGAAACGATAAAGGTGGGCGCAGACAGTACTAGGCAGGCAGACGGGCAAAGGCAGGTTATTTCAGCAGTGTCTTTTGCAGTTTCTGAGGCAGGTACCAAGGTGCACCTGGAAGAACGAGCACAGGCGCCTGGGAAGGTGGGCGCCGGAACGCCAGCGAGGGGTATCCGGTGCTCTCCCGGGAGACCGGGTCTCGGCGCGGGTGGCGGCTGCGAGCACGCGCGCTCGGAGCCGGCCGGCCGGGCGGGGGCGGGGCGGAGGTGGGGCGCGCGCACGTCCACGCGGGGCGAGGGAGAGGCGCGGCAGAGGCCGGTGACGTCAGGGGGCGCGCGCGGCCGCGGGCGGAGCGGAGGGGCGGGCGCAGCGCGTGGCCGCGGGCGGAGCGGAGGGGCGCGAGGGGCGGAGCAGAGCGCGGGAGGAGGCGGGGGAGGAGAGGCCCCCGGACCGCGAGCGGCAGCTGGGAAGGGGGCCGCGGAGCCGGAGCGCGAGAAACAGCTGATCCGGTTTTCCTTAAAGCCAGAGAAAATGGAAGTCGGGTAGCAGCTACTGCGGCGCTGCGGGCTGACTGAGCGGAGCGGCGCGGCAGGTGAGACGGCGCTGGCCGCGGTGCTGCCGGCGGCGTTGGGGCCGGGGCCGCGGGCCCGGCAGGTGCACTGTCCGTCCCAGTGCTGCGTTGGGTGCCTCCGCAGCTTCGTGGCGGAGCAGATGGGCGCAGAGGCCGGGCAGCTGCGTGTCTGGGGCGCGGGGGTCGCGGGCACAGCGCGGGGCTCGCCGGCGCGTCTGCATTGCGGGCTCGGCTCTGGACCCCGCGGGCGCCGCGGCCACCGGCCCTGGCCGGACGCGGCGCGCGTCTCCGGGCAGGGTGCGGCGCTCCCTCTGGGTCGCGGACGGTGTCTCCTTCGGGCCCCGGAGCCGTCTGCACTGGAACGTGATGACGGGCTCGGGGACACCGGCTCCTCGGTCCGTTGGGCGCACTGGGGTCCCGGGGCGCCGGCGGACTCCCGGGCACGGCCAGGCAGCATCGCGTGAGGCCGCCGGCCGGGTGCCCGGGCCGTGGCTGCGTGGGCCACCGCGGCCCGGTGCGCCGCTCGCTCTTTCCTCTGGGTCTGGCTGGACAGCGGGCGAACGGCTAATGCAATTTGGCTGTGAACCTGGAGGCCTTCCCTGGTTTCTTTTCACTGGAGGGGTTAAAATCGCATTTGCTGTGCTTTAAGTGCTCCTTTAAATTCGGGAGATGTCAGTGATGTCATCATTAACAAAAACTTTCCTTCATTGGACACAACCGCCCAAGTGCACCCTCCTCCAGTGCAGCTATTGCAGCCCTTTGAGAATCTTTGCTACAAAATAGATTTGTCTCTACTCTGTGAACTCACCAACCTTACACAGGTGAAAACGGTTTTTATTTTTATTTCTCGGCTTGAGAATGAATAGATTCAGGAGAGGCTGAAGGGAAACTTGTTAGATCCTCACAGATCCTAGAATCACTCCATCCATATCACAAGCATCCAGGGGAGAGTCACGCATGACACTTCCATGGCTATTGCCTGGCTTTATCTTTATAACTGAAAGTGAGCCATGAGATGAGAAAAATTAAAAGACATTATATTTGAGGTGGCAGATGATGTGTTCAGAAAAGGTAGACAGTGTGGCCTAGATCTTCACAGGCCTTGATTGCTTCAGGAAAATCTGTAGGTCTTCTAGCTCTCCATCACCACCTCCTCCAGGACTCCCCACCATGATGGGCCTGGGAGAAGTCTGCGCTGGAGAAAGGGGTGACAGCTTCTCTGGGGCCCTCCTTGCCTTTCCTGTAGCAGCTGTGTGACCCACCAGCCTCCAAGGCTAGTTTAACACCTGAAGAGAGTTGAGAGAGTGCAGAGGCTGGGACTTAACCTGCATAGCACACAAAGTTCTGGGGAAATTTCTCCCCATAAATGGGAGCAGCGTGACAGCATTATTGTGTGTGTGAGTGTTCCATTAGTACGGACTGTGATGGGAACAGAAGTAAGCAAGTTCCCAAGACAGTGTGCACTTCTACGAAAGCCAGTCATATTGAAAGGATATTCAATGAGAGACAAAAATATTGACATTTGTGTATTTAATAATTAATGACTTCCTAATTGGTGCAAAGAAGCATACCTTAAATTATTAGTGTGATCATATTGGGTCTGTAAGGAATTTAATACCACAGGACATGCAAAAGTTTGAGCCTGGTCGGGAGGGTAAGCTTTTAAAAACCCTGGATTGGTGGGAAGAAAACTGGAAATAGAGCTTCACCTTAGGTTTTGGCATTCAGGGTGGCAGTGGATAGAAACCATTGCATTATGGAGTCTTGCCTCTTGTGGGTCTCAGCCTGGGTCCTGTGTGGAGGCCCCTAGCCCTGGTGGAGGCTAGCACAAAAGTTGTGGGAAAGCTGAATTGTCTGTTCTCCCCTGTGGAGAAGGAGAGTGGCATGTCCATCTGAAGCAGCCATGTGTGCGTGGCCTGTCACCTCCTAAAGCTGCCAGATTTATTCACAGTGGCAAGGCTGCCTGAGACAGGAAGCCTTATAGCAGAATTGACTCCAAATATACGTCTTTTCGGCAACTTTGCCCCCGCTGCATATGGTTATTTTAGAAATTGACCTTCTAAGTCATTGCTGAGATTTTTTTCTGTAATTGAAGTAGCCTCAAGTGTGCGAAAATTGGCTTTTAAGTCTCTGAGCTATGAACTCTTTAGAAATTGAGTCTGTGAAACCGCTCTGGCCATATATCCTTTCTTTTTTCATACCTGTAGACCTGTGAAAGTATTCTTTGTAATTTTTTTTTTCATGCTTAGAGTATCACACCCGATTCTAAGAAACCAGGATTGCCTTGGCTTTTCTTCTTGTTCCCTTTGAATGTTAAGGTCATTTAATTCTTGTCTTAGGCCCAAAAGATAAAGGCTGAGTCAGCTCCCGAGGGGCCAGCAGAGGGCGTGCTAAATGCATCTTGGCGGGCCTCTACCTGAGCCACCTTGGAAAGGATGGAGGATCCCCAAACTAGAGGTGTGTACCTGTGAGCCCCACGTCTCTGTGTGCCTATCGCCCAAGGGATGGACACTGAAGCAAGGATATGCTTTAAGGAGTCAGAGGTTGCAGCTTCTTGAATGGGTCTCCCTCCATGGGGCAGCTTTAATGGCTCTGTGTCTTTGGAGAGTGATGGTTGGTCCCAGTCAGAAGATTCAGTGCCTCCTCAGATAGCAGAAGGGAGAGTGTTGGCTTGGAGAGGAGTGACTTGGCCTCACAGAAATCCCTGCCTACATCTTGGTCCTGGAGAGGGCATGATGGTGCCAACCAGGACAGCCAGTGAACGTGTCTCCCATCCCCCAACAATGTTTTCCCTGGGGTTTGACAACTATTGACTTAAACCCAGGACTCTATGTCATTAGCACCTCTCAGGGGGTTTATTTTCTGACCTTGCCAACATTATTGGCTCAGGGTTTCTCAGATGAAGACAAGCAAATGTTTAATCCATGTATGTGTTTTTACATGAATAAGATGAAACAGGAGAAAAGAGGCAACTGTGCTTTTCACTTGAATGCGCTTAATCTGATTTTAAGTGTGTGCCGTCAAGGTTTCTAGTTATGGGGTCCTCCCCAGGTTCCTTGTAGAGCCCAGATGCTGAAGGGTGAGATCACACCTTGAAGGGAATAGATCTTTTACTGGACACCTATCCAAATGCTATGACTGGATAATTCTTTATACTTCTTATTCTGTCAAAATGCTCATAGAATTGAACTGTTGATTTTAGAGAGGTAAAAGGAAAAAGTTTTCCAGCTTTGTGCTTCTCTTGGAGCACTTTAAATGGCTGCAGGGGAAGTGCCACTCAATTAAAGACAGGTGTCACCTGATCCTTTTGGAAGCTGTCCATCCCTGAGGATGACCACAGGATAGCCTACTCAAGAGGGACTCCTGAGATCCACAGGCTTTTAAAAGGAAGCAAAACATGCTGGTTTCTTTTTATGGTATATCTAATTTGAAAATATTTTACCCTTGGAAACTTGGAAGCAGAGTTTCATTTGCCCTTGATAGACTGCTGCACCCCCCAAGCAGTCTGTGTGTCCGACCAAGAAGAAGATGACTTTAACACAGATGTGACAGAGCCAGTCAGGGAGAAGCTGCCCGCTCGTTTTGGGGATGAAGCTCCTTGCCATTCATAGTAACAGAATGGGTACATGGGTTGAAAACAAGTCATTAAAATTCTGAAAATGAGAGGTTGCTGCTGCCATTTTTACCTGTCCATGTTGTGGAGGTATGTTTAGCTGGCTGGTTTACACATGGTATTTCTTTTGGAGCAGGGGGTGTGTGGGCTGTGGTCAAGGCAGGGATTAGGAGAGAGTAGACCTTACTTTTCCTTCTGCATTAGCCACAACCTGCCACCCAGAATGAGGCATGGCCCTGTCATGCTCTAGGACCCGTATGAGAAAAGGAGAAAGTTAACCTCCCATGTCTCCAAGGCCTTATCTAGTGAGGCTGCAGAATTCCACAAACCCCTAGTGCCTGCTATTAGATTTCTGCTATCCACCATCTGACATTCTAAGAAGTCAGATGTACATTCATGCCAATGCAAGTTCTAAATACATCTCTTTTGCAGATAGGGTTAAAGTAAACTCATTTTCTGGATTTGAAGGATCACACCTTTCTCCTTGCAAGGAAGTATTTTTTGTTTGAGCTTAGTTTATCCTTCCATAGTTTTCCTTATAAATGTGATGGATATTTGATGTCTGAGTGAATATGCATGCATAAAATGCAGTATAACTTTTACGAAATACAAAGGGAGACCTCTGAAATTCTTTTTCTTTTCTGCTCAGTGTTTCATTCAATTCTTTTATTAGATCAGCAGTTTCTCACGATGCTAAGGATGGATGTGGATGGACCACTCACCCATCCCTCCATGAGATTCAGTCTCTCAGTTGCTGAGATGAGTGTAGGAGCAGATGTCCTGGTTTGCCCCTGCCAACTTGAGCCTTGCTACTGCTGTGAAGGCCCCCAGCTCTGCTGCCCCTGAGGCTGACACACCCATGCTTTACCCAGATTATCTCTGTGGTTCCATTTTAGAAGTTGCCTATGATGTGGGGCTCCCCAGATACTAGAGTAAGCCCAGGGCTGGCCTGGCAGGACTGTGGAAGAGACCCCACGATGGACCACATCCTGGGATGTGATGTGCCTCCTTCCATGAAGGCCACCCTAACCCCCAAGACTGAGTCAGTACCCTTTCCTCTTGGGGGGTCCAAAGACCATGGGTCCAATCCATTTCCCCACACTTCTTATAGTGATGATTTGAAGCTTTGAGAATATGTGTATTATCAAAATATGAGGCAACACTTTTGCATGTGTAATTTTTCATGCCTTAAAAGGAATTGTCCAGCATCCAAGATATATATTGTTCACTTTTTCTTTTTGTTAATTGAAATATAGTTAATTTACAATGTTGTTTAATTACTTCTGTACAGCAAAGTGATTCAATTATATATATATGTACATATGTATATACACATTCTTTTTTATATTCTTTTTCCATTATGGTTTATCATAGGATATTGAATATAATTCTCTCTGCTATACAATAGGACCTTATTGTTTATCCAGTCTATATATTATGGTTTGCATCTGTTAACTTCTGCCTCCCAACTCATTCATCACCCAAGCCCCTTCTCCTTGGCAACCATCAGTCTGTTCTCTATTTCTGTGAATCCATTTCTGTTTCATAGATAGGTTCATTTGTATCATATCTTAGATTCCATGTATAAGTGATATCATATGGTATTTGTCTTTGTCTTTCTGACTTACCTAGTATGATAATCTCTAGTTGCACACTTTTTCTTCTTAAAGTGGAGTATCTTTTGCCAGTCTTTTAAATAATATCATGCTATCTCTTGAATCATCCCTGAATAGAAAAAAAAGATGGACGAGTTGCCAGCTGACTTGGACAATGTGGCAAGCTGTGTGACCTTGGGCACAGTCCCAAGTGGCCCCCCAAGAGGAGAATCTCTTCTCTGGTTTTGTGTAGGTTTGTGGGGGAGAAGCAGATGAGTGTGCAGTGAGTCCTTCAATTCTAAAGCAATCGATGATTCCAATAGAAGGAAGTAGGAGGCGGCGTGCCCATCTCATTTACCACGAGCCCATAGCCCTCCCTTGTCACTGTTGTCAGTTGCTGGGTTTACAGTTGACACTTGTAACTCAAGTCCCAGCTTCGATGAACTTGCTTTTAACTTTTTTTGCAGAGGAAGAAGGAGGCATGGGTAAGAAGAATGGAGGATCTTCTTTGGCTTAGTGATTCTTGTCATTTACCTGGAGTTGTCAGCCAGTTGTGTTAAAACAGGCTAAAGGAAGTTCCTCCAAGTCAGGTAGACTACAGACCCCCTGAGAGTTGGGCTGCATCTCCTACTTCTAGCAGGCCCCTCGGTCTCATCAGATGGATTGTTACAGAACACACTTTCTTACTCTCGGAGTTGATGGAAGATTAGTCTTTCGCATGGACAACTCGTGGGTGGAAAGAGAGGAAGGAGAAAAGCGTTCCAGAGATGGGGTCCTGCTAGTCCCACGTCTGTGAGGGGCAGCGACCATGGCCTGCGGCCCCACCAGCATGGCATCTACCCTTGGCATTTGCCCTTGGGGGAAGTGTGTGGCTAAGTTCTGGGTCTGCACTGCCCTCCTCACCCTGAAAGAGCCCCCTGGCAGGGCCGGCTGCTGTTCTTGGAGCAGGTCTCTGGCCTCTGAGACCAAGGGGCATCCTCTTGTCATTGGTGTTGCATGTGGTGCAGGGCAGAGGAGTCGCTGTGGCTCCTGAGGGACAGCGCAGGCCCCCATGGGAGGAAGTGGCTCTTTTGCAAGCCCTGTCACTTGCTAGGTCACATGAAAGCCCTGTGGCTGTTTCACTTGGCACTGTGGCTGCATAATTCTTGGTAGGCAAATTGAAAGGCCGCACTGGATCTCTTGGGAGCCTGTGGCCTGGACTTGCGGGAATGGTTTGCACTTTGGGTCCACATCTCTTGCTTATTTCATTTGTAAAGTCTTTCTGGACTGAGGTGCTGACTGTGACCTAGGCCCTCAGGGTCCCCTGGTTCAAAGTGGCCGGCAGACTCTGGCTTGTCAGGCCTGGCATGTGTGGGCAACCTCCATCTCTCCTGGGTCATCTACCCGCGCTGCCCATCACTGCCAGCATTTCCTAAGGTTTCTTCCCCCCAACTCCACTTATCCCATGAACAGTCTGGAGGGCCGTGTGTTCAGAAAGACATTGTCACATCGGGTATGTAAGGCTTCCGGGGTTTGGGAGGGGTGATACAGGCAAGAAATTCCACTGCTTCAAGTTAGAGGTTTGTTATAAGATGCTGTGCTGCTGCATTTAAATTAGGAGATACTGTGGAGGTGGCAAACACCACAGTAAAGCAAAACACATGAAGTTTTTTGGTTCCCAGTGCATATAAAAGTTACATTTACACCACCATCCTATCATCTATTAAGTGTACAATAGCATTATGTCTAAATATATACCTATATATACACCTCTTAATTAAAAAATACTCTGGCTAAAAAAAATGCAAGCTATCACCTGACAATACAGGGTTGCCACAAGCCTGTAGTTTCTTTAAAAAAAAAATGCAGTATCTATGAAGTGCAGTCAAGTTAAGCAATGAAAGGAGGTCTGCCTGTACTAGGCTGTGGGGTGACTTGGAGGGCCCGGTGGGAAACGTGGCCATGGAGGAGCATCTGTGTGTGGCCCTTGCAGGTCAAGGCCGGGCCTGCTGGGGGAAACTCCCAGCCTCTGGACCAGGCCCCCACCTTGGGCATCTTTCTAGTCCTCTGTTTCACAGGTGAGGTGGAGATAGGTAGCTGCTTGAACTCTGATACCTCATTCAAGTCCATGATTCTGTGCCCAGTAATCCCCTCCTTCTCTCCTAGTGCTGACTAATCAGGGGAAAGAAAGGCCCACTCATTGCTGGGAGAGAACAGCTAGGGAAAATTAGGTGTCTCTTAGGAATGTTTGTATCCGTTTCTCACGCTGAGGGGAATACAGAGCATTTGAAGAAGGATTTATAGTTAGAAACGGGCTGTGTGGTCAGCATCCCTCCTTCTGACTGTGAGGCTCCAAGGAGAAGGCTGTGCCCCAGCCTGTTCAGAACAGGCTCTCCATGCGTGTTTATGAGATGCATTCACTAGTCCTATGGGAATTAAACTTAGAAATTTAATTATTCTTTCTAGAATTGTTTAGCTCCCATGAGTTCAAAAGTGTTAGAGTTGAGAATGCGGCTCATGTCAAATTTGACACATTTTCAAACTTGAGCCCCCCAGTTTGGCAGTGAGCAAAAAGAAAAAAAACCAGCAAATTATTTACCGATTCACTATGATGCGGCACACTGCAAAAGTGTCATTCTCTGGGGAGGTATAGTTCTATCTTTTCCATATATGTGTCACAGATACTGTATGCAGTCTTAGGGAATATTAGCTACATCTATTTGATAAGGAAAACAGCTGCATTCCTGATTTCTTTTAAAATTGAAATATAATTGCCTTACAATGTTGTGTTAGTTTGCACTCCAGATTTTGAAAAGCCCTCCTCCCCACCTCCCTTTACCTGTCTGGGGTGCGGAGCCTTAAAGAAGGCAGCAGTCCGCATCATCTGTGCGGCTCAGCCTGGGGAGCGGGTGGGACCCCAAGGTTAGTACTTCCCTGGGACTCCCTCCGTATGCTGACAAATGTTCTGCCCTCTCTGACCCCCTGAGCAGCGCTGCCCTCTTGCTCCCTGCCACACCTCTCTCCTGGGCCTGTCTCCCTGCTCTGGAGAGCCTCCAGGGGCTGCTGGTGCCCCCAGACCTCGCCCCTGAGCAAGATTCCTTACTACCCACCTCCCTTTTATTTCAGTTTGGCAAGAGGATGAGATCTACCCGACCTCCCATAACAGAACCATGACACCATAATGGACAAGTCTGTCCCCATGATATTGAGTGGGAAAGTGATGCTTTCTGGATAAAGTATGCTAGGATTTTTTTTTTCTTTTAAGTAATTAGTAAGACTTCTCTGTCACCATCCTCTCTTGGTGTTCTCTTGCCTACAAAAGTTGCCCAAGAAGGAGCCACTGTACCTATGATGGTAAAGTGGAGGTTCATGATTCAACACTGCAGCTTTAGTGAAACAGCCCTTTATGAAGGTGGAAGGTTGGTGGTCCCTCCCCTCCCTTCCCACACCCTGAGTGAGGCCAGGTGTGGGGCCCTGAGGATGGGCATTACTGAGAACAGGCTTGCCATCAAGTAGTAACCTCAGTGGTAAGATGATGCCCAGGGCACTGGAAAGTCTGGTGTTTGAGAGTGTGTCTGGTGGCTCAGATGGTAAAGAATCCACCTACAATGCTGGAGACCTGGGTTCAATCCCTGAGTTGGGAAGATCCCCTGGAGAAGGGAACCTGCTCCAGTATTCTGGCCTGTAGAATCCCATGGACAAAGGAGCCTGGCAGGCTATAATCCATAGGGTCGCAAAGAATCAGACATGACTGACTACTTGCACTTCCCTTTTACTTGGAGCAGTCTGGAGACCAGACCCCTCCGGCCAAGCCCCAAAGTATACATTTTTCCCTTAAACTAACTCTAACAGAGAGGAGAAGAAGCAGAGACATTTTCCGATCAGGAGAGGGTCTTGGCTATCCACTCCCCGTCATGATGAAACAACCTGTCTAAACGCATAGAGCTGCCAAGCCTGCAGCAGGGATGACTGGGTTCCTCATGTTCCTCCCACCAGTTCTTTGTGTTGCCCAAGAGATGGGCAGTGACATTTTGTCCCGGGTTCCTGGTGGCATCCATGGACTAGTGGGCAATGGCATGAGAAAGCACCTTTGACATAGACATCTAGGTGCTGCAACAACAGACCTCCTCTGAGGGTCCTGGGTCCTGGCCTGGGCTGAGCATGAATGACAGACATAAGGAGCAATGGGGCACTGCATGATCACTGGGGCAGCTATCAGGCTGGAGAGGAGGTCACACCCACAACCTCCCCTGTGGACTCTCTGAAAAGCAGAGTATGTTGGGGACAGAGGATCCCATGGGAGTGGCTGGACAGAGCAAGTGCAAGACCATAGGGTGGTCAGAATAGGGGTCTGATTGGGATCCACACTACTCAGTGCCCTGAGCATGGGGGTCTATCCAGCAGACACTCACCTGACTCAGTACCTGTGTCAGGTACTGAGAAACACGCAGGGTACTGGGGCAAACACAACCCCTGGGGAGGATGTGGCACAGCACCAGGGAATGGGCACGCAGCCTCATGCCTGCTGGGTCCCCCCAAAAGTCCCACAGCCTGACCATAGCTGAGCTCTGCCTGCATGCAGCCTGTGAGTTATCATATTTTTAGTCTTTTAGTCTTTATGAGTACATAAAATGTACTCATCTAATTTAATTTAATTTAATTATGAAGGATTTGCTGAATTTAAGCTCAGTGTTTTCTATCTTGGAGTTCCCAGCATGTCCTTTCCTGGGCTGGTGGGCCAGCCTGTAGTAACCACATAGTCCCAGAGTATGCAGTGGCCGGCCTATCACAGGGTTTCTCCCTTCTGTTTCTGGGGTTATCTCTCTCTGATCTTGACACCAGCACCTGTCCACCAGCCTCTGTGGTCCTCACAACAACCCAGTGAGGTACCTGGACTGGCCCTTGAGCAGGAAGGAGTGTCCCTCTATCCACGCCTTGACATGTGGGTTAGGCGGATACTCAAAAGGAAGAATTAATTAGGGAGAAGCTATAGTATCCATTCAGCCCCTGTAAAGTTAGGGGGAAACTCTGAAATGTGTTTGCCAGCTGCTGTGAGTGGTATCAGCTCAGTTCTGCTCTGAAAGATGACTGAAGTGTGAGCTCCCCCTTCTTTCCTCACCCTCCCATTCCTCCTGTCTCATTGTTTATGTTTCCATTCCTTCCATGGTCTAGACACATACTATTTGCCCTCTCATAGGTAACCTCAGTTTCTAGTTACCTGGTCTTTGTGCTACGTTTAGATGGATTCCAGGATCACACAGTACTGGTCCTTTGTTAGTAATTCTAGAGGAATTATCGGGGCCTTTCTTTCAATTCCTTTTTCAGTTGTTGGAGTTCATTGTAGAGTTTGTGAGTTGTGATCCCCCACTGTCTTCTTAAATGGCTCATGACCCTCAGTGGAGAATTTTTGCAAGCTCCAAAGTATCTCTTGCATGAGTATAAAACTCTTGAGTCCCACCTTCCTTTTAAAACTTTATAGAAATATTTCTGTCTTTTAGCATTGAGGATTATTATTAAGATATCTGAGCTCAGCCTGTCTTCTGCCTGGATGTTCGTATGATTCTTTTGATTCATTAACTTCTCCAGGCTATTTCTGTATGTTCATCTTTCTGTTATCACTTTTTTGTTTTGTTTTATTTTGTTTGGGTCTTTATTTTAAAAAAATTTTTTTTCCATTTATTTTTATTAGTTGGAGGCTAATTACTATGAAGACCAATACAGTATACTAACACATATATATGGAATTTAAAAAGATGGTAACGATAACCCTATATACAAAACAGAAAAAGAGACATAGATGTAAAGAACAGACTTTTAGACTCTGTGGGAGAAGGTGAGGGTGGGATGTTCTGAGAGAATAGCATTGAAACAAGTATACTATCAAGGGTGAAACAGATCACCAGCCCAGGTTGGATGCATGTTATCACTTTTTTTAAAAAAAAAACTGCACACAGTATATCCCGTCATCTGACAGAGACAAGTCACTTTATCTGTGTAGTGTTTCTTCTGTGTCTTATATATGTCATCTCTTTGACAGACTCGGTATTTCGCTTACTTTGCCATTTTATTTGCTTGTGTCTTTGGTTGGTTGATTGTATTTATTTTATTTTTTAATGGCTTCTAATGTGCTCATCATTCCTGCCCCATTTATTTTCTTTTTCTCCATTTCTTTCCCAGCCTCTTGTCTTTCTGTTGTTTAATAATTTCTTCTTTGATTTTTAAAAATCTTTTTAGGAACGTATAGTCACCAGGATAAAGGCCCCTCAAAGATGTCAATATTCCAGTCTCCAGAATCTGTGAATATATTGGGAGAATTGGAATTGGAAAAGTAAAATTGAATATGGAATGAAGGTTGCTAACCATCTGACTTCAAAGTAGTGGGATTATCCTGGGTTATCCTAAGTGGGCCCAGTGTAATCAGAGGGTACGTGAAAGGGGTAGATGGAGGACCAGAGAGGCGTCAGCACAAGAAAGACCAGTCCTGATGTTGTTGGCCACAGGAGGCCATGATCCAATACATGTGTGTGGCCTTCAGACTGGACACAGCAAGGGAAAAGGGGCTTCCTGCAGTGGCTGGAGTCATGAGTCCCCCCATGACATTCATGTCCCAACCTCCAGAACCTGGGAATATGTTCATTTGAGACTATGCAGATGTAATTGAATTAAGAATCTTGAGTTGGGGAGATTGGCCTGATTTTTCCAGGTGGGCCTGAGTAACCCCAAAAGAAGCAGGAGGAGCAAAGTCAGAGCAGACCTGAAGATGGACTCAGAGGTCAGGGATGCAGTTTCTGGAAGGGGAACACCAGCGGAAGAATGGGTACAGCCCCTGGAAACTGTGCATGGTGGGGCACCTTCTCCCCTGGAGCCTCCAGAGGGAACACCGTCCTGCAGTACCTTGGCTTCAGCCCAGTGAGACCCATTTCAATCGCCTGATCTCTAGAACTGTAGGATGATATGTTGTTCTTGTTTTAACTCACCAGATTTGTTGTGATTTGTTTCAGCAGTAACAGGAAACTCACAGAGACTGTAGGGGAGTATGTTATTATAAAAGTTCGTCACCTGTTTCCTTAGGAAGCTTTCCTCTGGGTCTACAAGTGTTTACCCTCCTCCTCCACCCCATTCTAAGCCTGATTCCTGAGTTGGTTACTTTGTGACTTTAGTCAGTGCTTACTTGAAGAATGGGGTAGGGTTGCACTTTGTTTCAAGTTTATAGTCTGAAATGCAAGAATATACTCTTCAAGTGTATTTCTTTTGCCCAGTTAGGAGCTGCAGTTCCCCAACTCTTCATGAATAAATTGGGTGTTGCTCCTAGCAGGCCTCTGTGTCATGTATTTGCTAACTGCCTCCGTCTCTATATGAGGCCAAATCCACAGGCCACAGTCTACCTAGTTGTTCTGCTCCCATGTCCAGTGATCCTTTGCAAGCTGCCATCCCAAGCTCCCAGGGGTCAGGAGTGGGGCACTGGCTTGCTGTGTCTCTTCCTGATTCCATTGGTCTGGTCCACCCAGGGATTTGTGTGCTCTGCTTGTGTCTGTTTTCTTGATTTGTTGAAAGTGGTATATATTTCTCTATTTCTCTGTCTCCCTTTTCATTGTTTTGAGGGCTTTCAGAGAAAGTGTGGAGGAGTAAACCATTCACTGAAAACTACTTTCTGGTGAGTGCTGGTGTAGATGCTGAGGGATTTTACTCATCATCTTTGGGGAGCTGCTTGTGCTTTGAGAGAGAGAAATGGGTCGCCATTTCTCTTGGGGGCTGGGCATTGTTTAGCATTTGTGGCTTTGGGATTCCTTTTCCAAGAGTTTTTGGAACCCTCCAGAACCCTTTTTGTGTAAAAGCCCTTCCATTAGATTAGACAAGCTATTGTATAAAAGATTTGGCCTCCCA